TTATGCTGCCAGTGGGGGATGGCTCCTTTCTATCGGTGAGGAGCGACACCTGCTGGAAAACGGGCCCAGCATCCCTGAAACAGAAAGTTGATACATGCGCTTGTTCCTACACTTAGTAAATAATACTGAAATTCAAAGCCTTTTTGTACTGCTTGTCCATAGACAACAGAGTAACAGTAAACTGGAAGCAGGAACCAATCAGTGCTGCTGTTTTCCCCACAAAAAGAAACGGGATAATCCTTATTATTATTGCGCCCAGCAGGAGTTCAGCTCCTGGCCTCATTCGTATGAGTCCAAGGTGGGGTATGACCCCCCAGGCAGGTGCCCACCATGTTGCCTTACCACAAAAAGAAAGGGGATACTAGCCCTTATTATTATTGAGCGCAGCAGGACTTTAGCTCCTGGCCTCATTAGTATGAGTCCTAGGGGGGGCATGACCCCCCAGGCAGGTGCCACCATCATGATCATGTTGTCTTGCTCACCATGTCATCTTACTTACCCAAAAAAGAAAAAGGGATGGCCCTTTTTACTGTTGTGCCAGGCAGGACTTCAGCTCCTGGCGTCATTTGTACGAGTCCTAGGGGGCCACGACCCCCCAGGCAGGTACTCACCATGTTGTTTTACTCATTTCCTTCCATGCAGAGAGTTTCTCAAGACGGCCACTAGCCGTTGGAAAGCAGAATTGAGATTAGCTCTGGAAGAGTGGAGCCATCCTTCGTCGAGCCGGCAGATCACGCCATCGTGGAAGCGGGATCGCCAAGACGGCTGTGCTTCTTCACATTCCGATAGCCAGCTTGATTACTTCCAGAGCTGGTCTCACTATAGTCCTCAATGGGTACAGTGCAAGTCTCCTGACCTGAGTAAAGCCAGGCTGCAGGCAAGTGACAATCAGCAGAATTGCTGGCTAAGGATGAAGTCATTGAGCCCCGATTCATACTTCACAACCCATGGGAGAAGCGGAGGCAGCTTGGGGAAGACGACCTTGGACAAAAACCTGCTAGGCAAACGCAAGCTGGATGAAACGTCGAGGGAGAGGAAAGCTAAGAGTGATCTTGTTGCAGTGGCTGCCGAGGCCGCTGCTGGTGTAGATCATGGGTTCTTGGAGGAGGCTGGAGGTGTTGTTCAAGGTGTCGAGGATAACAACGTGGAGAACGTGGAGGACAAAAGGAAGGAGAGGCAAGGGTTGGAAGGGGAAGAGGAGGAGGGGAGGGACAAGGAGAATGAAGTGGTGACACGACCTCCAGGAACCCACTATGATTTCAAGCCGCCAAGCAGTCCTCTTACCAGGGGTGGATTTGCACTTTGTGTAGGGGTTCAGAACCCTCATAAGCACCAATCGAGTGGTGACCAGAACGGTGGAGGTAACCTTACTGCCCTGGCAGCTTGCACTGGGCCTGGATCTGGACCTGTGTGCAGTTCTGTACCAGGCTCCGGCTGTGGTCCTGTGTCAGGTCCTGCCTCTGATCCTCTCTCTGGACCAGGCCTTGTCTTTGGTCCTGGCTCTGGCTATGGGGGGAAACAGCTCCAAAAAGGGCTAGTAGGTTGTGTCTGGAACGAGTCATCGGGAGAGTTCAATTTGGCGACACCCAAGCGCGGACAAGAAGAGGAGAGGGTAAGGCCACTGTCTAAGACCCCTCAAATGAGGTCTAGGAGCTCAAGCTTGAAGATTGTCGATGACTCTGACTACTCCATTGGCTCTTCTCCCATCAGCGCACTGTTTGGAAAGCCTGTGGAGAGCAGCATGCTCCTTGCTGGTGCCCCTTCACAATCACTGCTGAAACTTGAAGTGGGAAGGAATAGCAGCAGCTTTCAGGAGGCAAGCATGCCGCAGGCTGACGCAGAGAAAACAATGGCTGCGGATGGTAGTGGGGGTTCTTACGCGGGCTTGATGAACGAGCCCACCAACGGTCATCATCCTGCTAGTCAGTCAAGCGAAGACTGCAGCCACCTGCACCCTTGCAGCACCCTCTCCTGTCCATCTGGTGGGGCAGGCATTCAACCAGGGACCAACGCACTGATGATGACAACGAGTGGTGCCCATTCTGCCAAGAAGGAACTGCTGGTGGAAGCAAAGTCCGCGGTAAGATGGAAGAGGAGGTTAAGCTTTGGTCAGCGCTACAGTCCGAGGGAGGGGAGCAAGTCATCGCTTGGAGAAAGCAATCGTCTTTCTCCTGTGTTCACGTTCATCCACAGGGACGACTTGCTGTCAGCAGCCTCCATGATAGCGCCACAGACCCCAAATGGCAGTCTAGTAGCCGGGCAGAGTGTCTCTGCAACCCCCAAGGGGGGATCGGGATCGCCTTCCTTCGAACTGCTGAAATACCCTCAAGGTGCATCCAGAACACCCGCAACTCCCAACTCAAGGCCTGGGAACTCCTCATTAGTAAGGTCTTCCCCATCAAGCTTCACTAGTTCATTGTCCCCGAGCCCCCGGGACAGCAGCAGACTCGATACGCCACTTTCATGGACTTCGGCAACCGATAAACACATCGATCATTGCAAACAACACAGAAACTTTGAAAAGCCAATCTCATCTCCTACCCAGCTCAGAGAGTTGATAGGCGGTGACGGTATCCGAGGGCACTTTGCTGAGTCCTCCTCCCAGGCACAGTCTGCCTCTACCTCCACATGTACATCTCCAAGCCCATTTACGCCAGATCACAAGACTGGTATGAGGGAACGTTGGATGGAAAATTGGAATAAACGGACAGTGATGGAAGCTGGAAAAGAAAACCAGATCCTCAGCTCAAACATTGCCTGCAGCATTGTAGTCCCCACGACACCTTTGGAGGCATCAACGGAGGAAGCTGGGAAGGTGACGACACAGCTGGTCAAGGAAGACTTAGCAGACGTTGTGGTCCCCACCACACCTCTGGACCCAAGGGGTCATTTGACAGGGCACAGAGCGTCCAGGACAAGTCGATGGATATCGGATGAGCGAGAAGATGAAATGATGCCATGCGTGGTGGACCTTGATAACCAGGCTGAGGGAGCAAGATCAATACTGCATGGGAGAGAGGAAGTGATGGTAAATTGTGTGGGACGTAAAGGGTCTGCTAGACAAGGATCAGTGTCGCACACAATAGAACTTGAGATTGGACAGAACGGCGGCCTTCCTAAGGACTTTTCCTTGGGGGCAAGATCACTGTTACATGAGAGAGATTCTGCAGAAGAAGAGATGGCAGATCCTGGGGTCGATGACGACTCAAAGAGATCACGATGTGGGTCGCAGCAGAGAGAAGCAGATATGGTGACGAATCTTGGCATGTACTCTGACTCTGAGGGCGGAGAAAGATCACAGGTGTCGCAAAAGAGGAATGAGGCTACATCGGAGTGCTCTTGCATTCAACTTAACAAGGGACTTGCCTGTCCATCTATCTTCCCTAGCATGACTTCATCTCAGAGTCTGTTCTCAGAGAAGGAAGGTGCACCACAGAACCCATCGTGCACTCATGAACCCCTTCAGGCCCCAGTTAAACACCACTCCCCCCATGTGGATTGGCAACAGACACCCCCCTTTTCCAAACCGCCGACAGTAGACTTTCTGGAGGCTGCAGGCGTATCATGCTGCGGCTATCATAGTAATGGTGGGAGGGGGGTGTTTTCAGAAGATAGCATGGCTCGAATGGTGGATCATGGGGCAACTCAGTGTGAGATACTGTCATCGCCTTGCATCGCTGTTCAGGATGTAGCAGTGCAGCCCTGGGATGATGCCGAGAGTCAGTTTTTGTTCTCAAGCCGCATTCCATACAAGCAACAGCTGGTTCATCCATTACACCTCCAAGGTGAGCGCTGGTTTCGATTATGGACATGGTTCCCATGCATTTCACCTGTTAGGTGCCTGTGTTGCAAGAACCCCATGATGACAATGCCGTGCCTGTCCGTGGGGAGTTACGATGAAAAGGATGTCATTGACTGCAAGATGAGGCCATCAGCACGATGTGGGCCACGCTCTGAATTCAGCCAACCAGAGCTGTCAGTAGAGAGAGAGAGTGTCGATGGTCTATTAGGGAGAAGTTCAACGCCATCTAAAGATATTTTCCACGGAGCTGAGTCAGTGAGAGCCTTGGAGGGAGCTATTAAAACCCCAATGGGTGTATCTTCCAACGTCTTTCATCACTTCCTGCATACTACTCACAAAATCCATAGCAGTTGTGGAAAGACCTTATCTCACCAAGGCGCCTCCTTCTCCCTCCAGAGAATTGGGATGGAGAAGAAGACACCCTTTCTATGCTCAGGCCTCTTTCAAGGCAATTCCTAGCTGTCATCATGATGTCAGCTTCAGTATCACTGCTCTGAGTGTCGAAGCTGTCACCATTTTCTCCTCCTCCTCCTCATTATCATGCTCTTAGTGTTGAAGTTGTTGCCATTACCTCCTCCTCCTCCTTCTCCTCCTCTGTGTCCTTCTGCTGCTGTCTTTTGATGCTTGTATGACGATTGACTGCTAATACTGATACTGCTAACTACTACACCACTGTGAAGTATTACTAGTGCTTTTTAGTAGACCGCAACTGCTACTACTACTTTGACCCTCCTGCTGCTCCTCCTGTTCCTCTCCCTTTGCTCCTTCTCCTCTTTCGCATCATTACCGTTCCCCTTCTCACACCCTGTTCTCTTTGACTCTCCTGCTTCCTCTCACTTGATTTCCTCCCCCATCCCTCCCTCCTACCGTCCCCGCTTCCTCCCTCTTTTCCTTCCTCGTCCTTCCCGCCACCTCCCTCTTGGCTTCCTCCCCTCTTCCCCAGCCCTTCATTCCCCCTTATCGCTCCTTCTTTTCTCCCCCTTTCCTTTGCTTTCCTTTCTTCCTACACCTCCTCCTTCACTTCCTCTCCCTCTTCCCCATCCCTTCCCTTTTTCTCCCCCCCCCYCCTCCTCCTCCTCCTCCTCCACCTCCTCCCCCTCCACCTCCTCCACCTCCTCCACCTCCTCATAATCATCATCATCACCATCGTCATTGTCAGCGTCATCAAAATGACCAACCCTGAATTGTGCTTCCTGTTCTTTTTCCCCTCTTTTTGGAAGGGGATTAGCTAGCCCCTGACATTCTTGTACCCATCTAATTCCATCAAGGCTCTGTTTATTGACTCTTGCATGTGTATACCATGCAGCCAAGTTCATAAATTTAGACAAACGATCCACGATGACCATGACTTGTGAATGTCCTCCCTCACTCACCTTTCCCATGTCCAGGCTGTCTCATTGAACTAGCTATTACTGCTTGCCATCATTTCAAGCCATCAATCATACCAACATGTTCTTGTGCACATTGTCAAGTAGTCCTTACCTACTAGGCTACTATATAAATGCCCCGGTGGTTTTTGTTTTTCCTTCTTTTGCCCCGGTGTTCAAGTCTTGCCGAAGCATGGAGCTGTCGAAATGTATGATATTCCCCTCTCCGCCGTCCTGCCAGAAAGTTTAACCCAGTCAGATGCTGTACTATATAATATATACTGATGAGTCGGTGAAACTCCGACGAAACAGTTTGTCACAGCCCCTCGTTTGTTGTCCTCTTCTCCCTCTCTGCCTACGGTTTACCAGGCAGTTCTATTTGACGATATATACATATATACATATATATATATATATATATATATATATATCCTAGACTACTGCGGGACTATGACAGCTCCTCCGATCTCAGATATTCCCCTCATCGCAAGGGGCTTACGGAAATTATTAAATTAATAATAAAAAAAAGTTGCGAGGGGCTTGACTTTCACCCAGGATAGGCTATTGGTTAGGGGTCTGCCCGGCAAGCACAAGCTTGTGAGTTCGATTCTCGATTTGGACAGTGAGGTTGGTCCTCCATTACTATGGGACTACTGACTGCAGGTTACATGATAAGTGACTGCGACGGAATACAAAAACTTGTCCACGCAGCGAGCAGAAGGCCACGAGTTTGCCGGAACAATGACTACAATGGACACAGAAATTGTTGGCCCAGCAAGCAGAAGGTCGCGAGTTCGATTCTCGGAGGGACAACGACACAACTGTCCACCCGGCAAGCAGAACATTGCGAGTTTTTTGATTCTCGAAAGTGGACAATGGCTACAAAGGATGCCAAAATCTGATCCATTGTGCAGACATCCAATCCAAGACCATGCCAACGACCATGACATGGTGCCAGCCGTGGAAACCTGCAGGGCCTCACAAATGTTAAGTGTTGGTGTCAATAGCTATTAATTTCCCCAGCCTCATGCCCGAGCGGGACACACATATGCCTGTTGATAAGCAGATCGTCAGCTCTAATCCTGCTGGATAGGATAGATAATGCTAGGGCCATTTCCCCTTGAACCAATTTCAAACCACCAGGATTAGCCCCCTCCTTCAGAACTCCTGGGAGTATACAAGGAGTCCTTGCTTTCTATGTACCGGTCATGCAGAGAGACTGGTTCGATTTGTTTGGACGCAAATGATTTGGATGCAAATGATTTCAGGTCGGTGGACTGGCGCTTTGAAAAAAAAAAACAAGTTGCAAGGGGCTTGACTTTCATCCCAGAATAGGTTATTGGGTAGGGGTCCGCCGGGCAAGCACAAGCTTGTCATCCCAGTGGAGCATAGGATGCGACTCCGGGTTTCAGCTGACTCTGACACAGACTGACAGGAATCAAAATGATTACTCATTAGAAGAAGTCAATAGCTGTGCAGCTGTGTACACACCGAACTTCTCAAAGATGTATTAGGCTTTACTCTCACGGAGGATACGGGACACGAAACGAAAAAAAATAACGAGTGCATTGGCACACGAAATGCGGCAAAATACATTCGTTACTATTTATAGCAAACGGATAAACCTGTCCATTTTCTGTGGGAAGATGCACTTGTTTCCTTTTTTGTTTCGTGTGCTGTGATGCGACGCCTTACATCTTTGTACAACAAAGTCGCACAGCTTGCAACCATCACCCTTATGGGCCTCACTCCATCACTCACCAAATGTATAAAATACTAAAATGAGTATGAATCTTCCGCTAGAACACGGAAAGATACGCCACCCTAATATTAAATTTGTCTTTTGTCCTAGCGGGCCCTTTCTCTGCTCAAGTGATGAGTATCTGCCCCGTCAATGACTGAATGGTACACGCATGTAACTATTCGTGATGAGAACACAAGTTTGAGTCCTAAGCTTTTGGAATCGAATGAACACAATGAAGTTAACCAGAAAAAAAGGAAAACTTTAAGACAGAAAGTATGTGAATACGCTGGACCCAGTTTCCAGCAGGTGACTCTCCCCAGTGTCCCTGGGGACCAATAGAAGGAGCACTTGGTTTAAAAAAAAAAGAAAAAAAGGAAAAAAAGAAAGAAAGGAAAAAAAGTCAATTATGTCCCGGATCTCATGGGTTGCCATCATGTCATGGCCATTCGTGACAGAATTGAGCTGCAAGTTCCTTACGGAAAGAAGAAAGGCGTGCCATTTGGAACTTATGACCCACGTCTTTAGAACAAAATGGGTGAATATGAGGGGAGGCGGAGGGGCGCTCGTGGGCAGGGGGGAGAGAGTGTTTGCATGTCTGAATCAGAGGTTAGGGAAGTTGGGAAGCCAATGAGAATACTATGGAGAAAGGTGGAAGAAGAGCACAGCGGAAGGCTCAATCAAATGCACAGATCATGGATATACAATACTATACATGCACAACACACTCAAGAGACCGTGTGCGCAGAGAACGGACTTGCACACAACTTACAAGGGTGGAGGAGAAATACAGGGTAGAAGGTCCTCCAAACTGTCATCTTTTTTTTTTTTTTTTTTTTTTTGAAGAAGAAGGAGAAGAAGGAGAAGAAGGAGAAGAAGAAGAAGAAGAAGAAGAAGAAGAAGAAGAAGAAGAAGAAGAAGAAGAAGTGATGAGGAAGGTGAGGAAGATGAGGAACTCAAGGTATGGCCATCCTCATAAACTAATCCCTCTCCTCTGTCAAATAATCTCCTCCTCCTGTCAATTGCCTACAATCTCTATCTGAAACAATAGCACTCTCCAGGAATGTCACCAGATCTCTCTGCGCCTCTCTCAACAAACCGGCACTCATAGCAGAGGAGGTGAAAGAGAAGAACGCAGCTCTCTCTCTCTCTCTCTCTCTCTCTCTCTCTCTCTCTCTCTCTCTCTCTCTCTCTCTCTCT